TCAAAAAAACGCCGGGGGTAAATTCGCCGAGGAATATCGAGTTGGCAGGTATCAATGGAGGGATGGCGGCCACCCACGTGTCCGTCGCGGCGGTAGGGCTGGAGTCGGTGGAGGGTGGGGAACGGTCGCGAATGGGGGAGGTCGAATCTCTGGCCCAGATTTGGAATATGGGTCGGGTCACCTGCATCCGTGCATCCCCCGGGCTACGGCCGGGGCTGTACTGCAGGACCGCGCGCGTATTCCATGCACTCGCGGCAGCCAGTAACACGGTCATACGTGACAACCGCAGCTGACCGTCACGCGTCGAATTTGAATTGATAATACGCGTAATTTCTGACCGTCCGTGTTGCCGCCGGCGATAACCGAGGAATAATTAATTGCCGGCCGTGAGTCGCCTCTGTTCTTTGACACGCGCCTCTGCACACAGATAACGGCGGCCACCGGTGTTTGAATTATCTTAACCCCGCGCAGGCCTTGTCAGGGGTTGCTTTGACCTAAAAAGGCTTTAGGTCTTCTGGGTACTTTGGTGGTCGTTCCGTATGGATGAATTTGTTGATTGGTAATTTTCAGTTGATTTTATAAAGTTCTTTCATGTTGATGAACGTTTAGATAGCTTTGTTTATAGTTCGTATCGCGGAATGATTTTATATGTTTGGATTGTGAATGATTGCGTGAAAAATATGAATATGTGGACGGCGAGATGTTGACGTTATTAAACGTGGTAATAGTTTATTTTGGAAAGCGGTGTTTATAACGGAAAAGTTATTGAGATAAGATGATACGAATATATCTCTGTTTCAGCGTCAGATGAGGAAGTTACTAGGATTAAATACATTAATGGCCTGTTAGCTGCGGCGATTTTAGTTCCGTTATAGCCTGTTTTTCGAAAGCAGAGGAGTGTTGAGACACGCTGATAATCATAATAGTTGTATAACCTGCTCTCGCTACTCACATTTTACGAGTACTGGGAGATTGGAGTGAGGTGAACAGGTATTACGACCATCAGCGTATCTTACATCGGTTTCCTTCGTTCGAAAGAGAAGTCGTAAATGCGGCTCTGTGTTCCCGTCGCTTCTTGGTGCCATCTTAAAGTAAAATTATGGAGGTTTACAATTCGTGAACGGGGTGGTTTTCACTTGAAAACCTGACTTATTCGAGTGTGAAATACCCAGAGGAAGGAAACAGGCGTAATTTTTGGAAAATTCGAATCTTCTAATAGATCTGGAGCTGAGAGCCGAACGTCGAAGCTTATAAGTAAGCACGGTTGCGGTTAGTTCGCGATACACAGGTGTTACGAACGTTCGATGGCTCGTTATTAGGACTGTTAGGATTGTTGATTTAATAGTGCGATACGGGCTCCAATGAAGTTGTCGGGAAGTTATTGGGATAACGATGGACCGTTTATCAGAAATCGAGAAGTTAACTGTATTACTTCTATAACTCTAGGAAGACTAGGCCACGAGTGAAACTCGCGTGGATAACTATTTTCGGTTCATTTCTCAAAAATACATATTTCCGGTCAATAAGAAATAATTTCCCAAAATCAGTCTCAAACATACAGACGACAACAATGATTTCGAAATGTTCCGTATAAAAGAGATACAATATAGTTTCCATATTTTATAACATTTGACTAAATAGATCCACTTTCTGCTCTATCCAGACTAGTCTCCAGTCAACGCGAAATTATCCGACCTTACGTTGTACCTTACAAACTCTATCATCGAACAGTATCAAATTGCCGGCGCAATGTATGAAATCCACCACGTGGGCTCAGAAAATATTTCATTCGTGTTGCGCGCATAAAACAGGGAAAACGAAAAAAAATAATAAAATATCTCTATTTACGCAACCCATTCCCTCCCGCATATTCCGGAGATATATTGGATCGCAGCGAAAGCATCGCTCTTATCAAAATAATTCCATTCGCCGAGCGGAACGGGAACAGCGGCGAGGGAGGCAGAGAGAAACCGAGTCTATACGAAACAGCGACGCGAGATAGAGCCGTGGAGCCAGGCTGCGCGATGGTTGCGCCGCGTTTCCCGCTATCCTTTATCAGGAATGATGCGTACAGCGAGCAAGTTGTCACGCGAAGAGAAACGGTACGACGCGACGCGACGCGAACGAGCCTCAACCGCCGGCTTTCTCTTTCCCCGCGTCTGTCCCGGCCTGCGCTTTGGCAACCGGCACACCCACATCCGCATGATTATAACGGCACCGTGGGGTTTGAGTAACTGGGGGAAATTTGCGGCTCGCGACAAACAACGAAACAAAGTTAACTTCGCCGTTTAACAGGGAACTTTTGAAGCCGCCGTCCGCGCCACGCTCGACAGCGTCGCGGCAGCGTATACCGCAGCAATGGCCGTCCCCGATTCGCTTCATCTGCCATGCCGCCGGATCCTGCCGCCATTCGGGACACCCTCCTTCGCCGGAGGTTGCTACCCTCTAACCTTTCCGGCGAGACGTTCCCTTCCCCGATAAACTGGAGCGAATTTATCGATTATGCAAAACGGCCGAGCATTTTTACATCTCCGCGAGCAGCGGAGGGCACGACACCGGGTTGGGGCGCCGCCAAACGGGACGCTACCGCTCGCGAGCACTCGCGAATGTTAATTCTGCAGCGACACAATGTATAGTATACCTCTCGCTGCGAGAAGCGAAACGATGGAGGAAGGGAATTGATAGCGGGGAAAAAGTCGACTGGAATAATTAAATCGAGAGCCGGCTGGGCTCTTTTGTCGGGGACGCGGAGTCGCGCATTCCTCTTTGCGATCGTCTCGATTGCAAATGTTGCTGCGATGAATGAGCGCGGCGCGTTACGATGGATATATTGAAGTTCCTTTCTTGGTCTTCGCGCGGAAGATCGGTTGAAAGGTTCGGTCGAGGTTGCTGTGATCGGTGTGCAGATTCGGAGTTGCAATCGCGTATAACACTAAATGACCTATTCCTTGATTTTTTCTTTTGCGATTACCGAAGAGCTGATATCTCTTCGAGGAATTACTAAAGAAGCTGATTAAGTAATACGTAAGTCGACATTTAAACCAATTCTAATTCAATAATAAATCCACCTTTGTAGTTTTTATAATAAAATTTTCAAAAGTCAGTTTATGTGCTCAGTAGTTCTAGTGTTAAAGTTGAAGAATGCAATTGTGAAGAAAAAACGGTGGATGTATAAGTGTTGCACTGAATCCTTGTAATGTTATTCGGTCATGCGTTATTGAACAAATGTGAATTTGAGATTTGCTTCTTTTATTAATTTCTGGTAGAATAATTTCAGTGGAAACGCGATGATAAAATCAAATGCAAGGATAAAACAAATGTTTCCGGGCTTCCTGTTTCGGTGCAATGAAAATGCGACATTCACTTTTAGACTCACCTCTGGATTGCAGATCTTGTATTTCGTACTCCACGGGCGATTCTTGCAAGGCTTCCTTCTGCAGCGTCTCTGCTGCCGCGAAATTCCTCCGCCGCAGCTCCTACGATGCGGATATCATGTATAATTAAAAAACTTCCGTTGTGTACGAGCGTTTATGAAATAAAAGACAACAGGCGGGGGTAGCTAAATATCGGACCACCTTAATTATATTCAGAACCGTTAGGAGTATTCTGATGCTCGACTCCAAAATGGAAACTTTGCTGAGTGTTCTACGATACTTGCACTCGAGGTTCGTTTTATTTAATATAATTAACTTTGTTTAATTATTCCGTAACCAAAATTTCTATCACTGTGAAAGAATCTGCGTTGATAAGAGACTTTAGTTATATCTAAAACTTGAAAAACCGTGGTCATTATTAATTTATATAATATAATCTATATATAATACTATCGATTTATGTATTTCTATAGAAAAATGTGTAATTGTATTGTGTGAACGTTGAAATTCCTTTGTACTAATAGCTACTGTTTCGAAATTACGTAATTTGTTCATACAAAATACTGCTACTTCAGAACTGTCAATAGTCTAGAAGCTTCTTAGCAACGTCTAAGATTTTATTAAAACATTTTTCATTCGGTCACATTCGAAGCAACACTACCGAAGAATTTTTCTGAAATAATCGTCTGAACGATAAGAAGGTCCACAGGAAATTAGAAAAAGATATAATCGGAAAATTCGAGGCATCGGATCGCAGTGACGTCGCGAGCATTTCCTTGACGCCGGCCCGACTCGCAGCAAGAGTTTAACTGGCACTCGCGTCTCCGGTACACTGCAGCTCTTGGTAGTTCGCAAACGTGACGTCGCTACTTAAAATTTGTTTCATACCCGGCACGGTTTAAAATTTAAAAGCGATGGAATAGAGGGAACATGCATAACGAAGAGGATCCTCCAGTTCGCGCGACAACGAAACGTTCGCGGGGGCGAACTGCTTTCAAAGGGACCTCGTTTCCGAAAACTTCCGTCGATGCCTGGGGAATTTCGTGCTTTGCGTCCGTGCCCGCTTCAATTTCGAAATTAAATGTCGCCGGTACACGGCAAGGCGGAGATAAAGAAATGAAAACTCTCCGTCGTTGAGCTCGATCAATGATTCCGAATGTAACTTGAAACGCGCAGGTTGTTTCCGAATGGACCGTTTTAATAAACAGATATTAAAGGAGAAGTTCAGATACTGCTTCGTGTTATAAGGTTAATGATAAATTAAACGAATAAATATGTAGCGTACAATATAATCGTGCAAATGAAATTTACTCAACGAAGGGAAAAGACATTAAATCATCGGTAATAAGAGGTAAGGTGGAATGCCGATTCTGATTAAGGTTTTCAATCGAAAATTGATTGATTCGTTCCTTTCAAATTAGATAGAATATTCTTAAAAATTACATTTGTCCACTTCGATGCATTGTCATTCATTATTTTAGAATATTCACCAATTCTCGTTCATCACTTTTTGCGTACAACGAATGAAGCACTCGTCAATCTTTCAAATTATTCGCGTTGAAGCATGTGCACCGTGGTATTTGAGAGCAATACCATGAAAGTGTTAATTCATTTCCCCGGGCGACGTTTCTTTTGCGCTCAATATTATATTTCCACGATTGCTCTCCTCGCGACATTTTATTCTCGCATTCTCCCCCGAAACAAACTGGCACAATCAGACTGGAAAATTCTGGGTCAACACCTCGAATCTTTAGAACGGCCCCTGAACCGTCCTGAAGTCGTCTTTCTCGCGGGAACAACGGGACAAGCTGAATACCAGTATTCAAACCCTTGTTTCCGTTAAACACTCGGCGAAAATCTCTGAGCCGTGTTTCGCTCATCTAATGACTGTCATCTTCAATTATCCGGGGGTTTATTAAATTCTCGAACAAACTCCCGGCTCGCTCTTGATAGCGAATAACTCAGCGGGACCGACCCGCCGCGCACGCGTTCGAGTTAATGAAATTTTCCGCGAGTTACGATTCGACTTGCGCTCACGTTCGAATCTCCTGCCCCTCGAGCGACTCGAGTCTTACACGGCCAATAACGCTAATTGATTAACTGCTGATGTTTACGCGTACGCGCAAGAATTCCCGTGGAAAAATTTATACGAATTAATATATCGGGCGAGCACTGTGCGCGGTCGATCGATGGCTCCGTTAGTCACGGAATATTTAAAACGAAAATCTCAATGGAAACGTCGGAACTTTTAACTGAAATGGAATTTTAAACAATCGCGGCCGCGCGTGTGTGCGTGACTCGCGAAAAATCCAGAAAATCCACGGTTTACCGATCAGTAATATTGACCCCGTTTTCGCGTTTAACTGCGCTCGCGTAATGATCATTCGCCATTGTCACGTTTAGTTTGATCATCAAATTGATGTTCGAATAAAACTCTGCAATAACGCCCATAATGAATGTTATTACTTACACGCGGCGCTCAGCAGTTTCAGTCAATAGTCGCGCAAATCATTCTCAATTTATTACGAGTGAATCGTGAATAATTGAGAGCCCCTTCGTCTCGAATAATACTAAAGCCGGCGTCCGGTTTAAAAATATTGTTTTATCGTGGAAAGTTTAACACCGTCGCATCGAGGGTCGGTGACTCCAAAATTAAAACATAGAAACGTCTAAGTAGAAGAAAATCCACGTCATTGGCAAATTTCTTGCAAGCCGGGAATACAGCTATCCTAAAACTACATTTTCAACCGAAGGAAGGAAACATCCTTCATCCTTAAGTAGTCCTTCAAAATACTTTGAATAATCCATGACGAAAAGTCACCGACATGAGACTTCCCAGTTCCACCTAACCCAGATCTCAAGATATAAACTCACTGCACTCTCTAAAAATCTTTAATTCGTCCTCAAAACGCAGACAGCGAACGAAAAGTTTAAAGTGTTCTTTTTATACAACCCAATGATACAATGGTTCTATTTCATGTATCGAATCTCATTCTTAACCTCTTGCCTTGCAAAGCATGCCAGATCCGTGGTAAAAATATCAAATGTAAATCCAACAGACACAAATACCACTCCACTCTTCTCATTTCAAATTTAATGCAACTTTCCCGTCACCAATTATCATCACACCGTCAACCACATTTTCCTCGAGTATAGAACAATCCTAGAATTTCCATTTTTTCCTGTAAATTGTTAATTGCGAAGCTGAGAAAGAGCTCGCAGAGCAACGGGTTGAAAAAAGAGATGTTTCAGCGAATGAACGTGACCGTCGTTATCATTGTTAAATTTACGTCCCTTTTTTGGCCGGCCCAAGCGTCATACATTTTCATTTGTCGCTTTCCGTGAAGCGTGATTCGTATTTCCCGCGGCACGTTTCGGGGACTGCGTCGCGCCGTAAATCGGCGGCCGTGACCACGGAAAAAATTTTAATAATTGTATCGGGTCGCGTGAAACGAAGATTTACCGGTCGTCGGGCGGAACCGTCGAATGTACGCCCCCACCCCCCCGTACATCATACAATAAGCTTCTCCGGGTAGGGCGAGTGCAGTTCACCAGTAGCAAGCGTCATAAATTACTTGCCGGCGCAGTCTGCGCCGTTTCTGGTCGACTGAAAAACGAGCTGCCCGCCGCCCGGAACTCGCCGCTACCGAAATGAGTTCTGAAACGCTTAACATTCCGCCGGTGTACCGGGCTCTGCGTCGCGACCCGATATTAGACGGGAAACCCCCCGTCGAAGGGAAATCGGATCGGATCCGTGATTTTTGAAGAAAAGATTCCTGGCAAATGACAGTAACACGATAAATTAACCTATTCATTGATTCACGTTGCACAGGGTTACTTTTGTAGTAGAATATCGGTATATTTTTTAAATACAGAGTAAGAGACAGAGATGTAAGCACAAGCTAACTTCAGAGAACGGATTTTTGTTAATTTATTTCTTTCTGATACTGTGAGAGTTATTTTATTTAAGGCAATATCGAATCATCCGGATTTTAGGTACTGTCTTGTAATCAGTAATCTTGATCATTTTTCTGCACGGTTATTTTAGCAAAGAAAAGTGGCTATAATTATTTACTATTTGGCGTTACAATCTTTATATTACATTATTATCAATTAAACATCTTGATTAATTCAGAAGCGTCAGCCATAGGTGACTGGCATTTAACGTGTAAGAATGAAATTTCGTACAGTATAATCTACTTAGGAATAGAACAAACGTTATTATAAATGGAATAACTTCCTTTCGATATTGATCTATCGAAATTTGTATTTCGGGAACCGGAAATTGTTGGAACATTCGTGGACCGACTGTGGCGTTGTTTTAAGCGGAAGTTAAATGTTGCGGGCGAAATGAATGGAAAAACTCAATTAAGCGTAGGAGGGTTAATTAGGGACAAGTGGTAATTCGGAAATAAGAGACACTCACCTGGAGCAGCTGGACCACTTGGACCAAGGCGACCACTCGCCCCACGCGATGCCCTGAAATCAGAAAGTAATTTGTCAGGTGATTAAATTGCGCGAATAAACCGTTGCTTCGCCGCGTGTTTATCACGCGGCGTAAAAATTCGACATTCAATTATCCGGCGGCGCTGAATTAATCAGGGATCGTATTTGCGGAACGCGGTTTCCGGGGAGCTGTGGCCCCGGTTCGATGTTACTTTTAACGAAATTGGAGAATCCGCACCGGGGGCGGATAAATTTGTTAAAACCGCCGGCCGGCAGAGAAATATCCGAATGGTAATTGAACCAGCCCCTCACGAAATTGTTGGCCAATTTGTAGGTGTAACGAGAAATTTCGTATTTATCTCGCGGCTCCGTTTGTTAAACAGTTCTCGAACGCGCGCGAAATTATGAAGAAACGTTCCCTGATTTTACACATTTTGTAAACCGATTATACCGTCGCACGAAATAATTGTTAATATTCCTTCCCCAATTAGCGTGGCCGCGGGAGCTTCATATAATCATAATCATTGTTCGTATTATATCTACGAAACTTCCTCTCTCCATGTGCATCCCTGACGAGGGCCATCAAACACTGAAACCTTATTTATTAACCTGTTAAATAAGCTCACAAACAATACTACGACAAATTAATATTTCAGCTTAAACTTACAACGGTCCCCAATTATTCATGCAAACGTCCATTTCTGTATTCTGCTCATTTCAGTGTAACAATAAGAAGTGTCTCGTTGATAAACAAATCCGATAAGCGGATAAACGAATCATTCTAGAGTCTGCGTTCTCGTGAAACTCTTCAATCATGTCGAACGATAATCAGCTTTGAATTGACACCTCGAAAAAAAATAGTGATTTCACGAGATTACGTTTCTCCGGCATGAAATATCGTCGTCGATGCTTAAAAGGATCAGGAATGGTTGTCGATAAGAGTGCAGTCGCGGAAGGCGCCGATATATCAAAGTATTTAGCGTCGTCGCGGCGACGGGATACAGAAACAGAAAAATCTCCGGCGGACACAGGGTCTGGCTCGCACATCGATATCCCTTCCCCGGGCAATAAGTTCGCTGCGGGACGTGATAAAAATTTCGGTGCCGCGCCGGGAACGCAGAGCCGCGACCAAATGCTCGGCACGTACGCGCAGCCGAACCAAGAGCGGATTTCGAAAATTCACTTTTGCCTGGGTCTGGCCCGGAGGATCCTGGTCGGTCGGCCGGGAATTCTTCTCGCCGGGTGTTTCGCGAGGCGGCCGAAGGGTTGGCCGCGCGATGACAGCCAGCCGCCGTCCGAGAACCCATAGAAATGAACGGGGAAGATTGATGAGGCGGTTTCACGGGCTAATACGTCGCCTGATGGATCCTCCATGGACTCGTGGCCCGATATTGTTCTTCCGGATGGGGCGCGAAACCTTTTTATGGATTCCGCCGGGGTCAGGGGTGACTCTGATCCGCGTGACCTGTCTCGACAGCGATGGATACGAATTTTATTGCCTGGCGATATTAAATATTCGTGAGAATAATCTTGTGCTCTGAGTTTTGTGGATTAGAACTTGTTAAAGTCGATGACAGTGTTTTTTGATCGCCCTATTAGTTGTATATTTTAATATTGGATGTTCTATTTGATGTTTTCATCTGTTAATTTAAGCTTGTTCTATACTTATTAGCTTCTTCGTGTTCCTAAACGAATAGTTTTGAAGGGGAATGATGTGAAGTGGGACATTTACTTAATTTTCTTCGGGCAACACTTGTTTATTCGACCTTCGTTCCAATTACGCGGCTAACAGACGGTTCTCAATTTGCTAAAAAGGTTCTGGGTCGTTCAATCCCTTGATTTTAGTGGTCGTTACTTCGGTCTATTGAAAATACCGGATATAGTTGGAAAAATAAGTAGTGGATACTTCCACTCGACGATGGGATCATGTAGAAAATAAAATCTACGAAGCAGGGTAACATCAACGACGTATATTCAATCGAAATAAATGGAATTCAGGTTCGAAAGGATCGAAGGGTTCATCGACGATAGATCGCAGTATCTTCCGCGGTGGCTGGGCCGCATTATCGCTCGCCATTCGATTACCGAACCTATAGGGAGCGGGTTTAGAAAGTTAAATGTTTCAAAACTCGCGAGTAGCGCATAGTTCTCGCGGCAAATTACGTTAGTCTGGGGCCTCTGGCGAAGAAGCCCTCCCCTTCTGCTTTCAATTAACGTGCGCGGTTATCCCGGGGCACAACCGTTGAAATATAGAATCCGCAAAATCCACGCGTAATCGTTAACCCTTCGCGGGCGACGCGCAATTTCCACTTTCCTCCGATAATTTCAAACCCTCCTTTCTCCGTTAGAGATCCTACCATAATTGATCGATAATTTAGATTTTCTAACATGTTCCACAGTTATCTTTAATTATCAAAGAATTCTAGTAGAAAACATGACAATTAATCCTTAGTGGTCTTCTTAAATTTGAATGAAATTCAGATCTTTTACAGTTTTCTTCATATCCGAAATTTGCTTTCAAAATTATCGCGATTAAAACGTGATCTTTCTATCCGAGTACGTGTTATTCTATGATCTAGTTGGTACTGCCACCAGAAGAATGTATCGATCAAAAAGAGTTAAAACTGGGAAGAGGTTTCGAAATAAAATATGGAATCTCTCGCCAACGATTTTCACCTAGATAGCAGGAACCGCTCCCTTTAACCGGGACTCCTCGATAATGAGCTGTTGTATCGGCTTTCCGCCGAAAGAGAAAGCTGCTGGGAGGGCGGACAATTAATCCTTTTTATCCGAGCTGCGTCCCCCGAGGGTCCGGGCTGAAACGGCGGAACGGGGGAGAGAGAGGGAGGAGAGACGTGGGCGAGTGACGGGAACCACGCGCGTGGAAAGGGGTGAAACGACAGGCCAAAAATCCACAAAAAAATACACATAGAGAGGGAAGTCGCGAGAGTGAAGCTGGAAAAGGGGAATGGATGGGAACAGAAGTGATTAGAATAAGGACGGAAACGTGCAACGGTTAATGGTCACCGGGCTTTCCATGAACTTCTTCGGGAAAATTTATTTTCCGGCGTTCCCCGTCTATTTTCACGGTACGCGCGTGATTGAATCAGCCATGGTAACTAAGAGTGACGGAAGCGTTACGATGGACGACGGAGTGGGAGAAGAAGGGCCCGCGCGTGAGCAAGATGGCGGCGTGCTTCGACCGCGTGGCGTTGTTTTCAGATACTCGGGCACAAGTTTTGATGTCAAGCTGTAGCGGAACGAACGAAGTTTCTGTTTAGTTTCTATTCAGAGGTAATTATAATTCTGCTTCCTTGAAGCAGTTAAAGTACCGTCTGTATTATTTCCACTTGCTTCTTTCGCGAAAAGAGAAGATTTGTAAATCTAGGCGTCCCTTTAGTACAAAGTTAAGTAAATTACGTTGGAGTTAAGACGGAGATGATAATGCTAACTGTAATTTGTAGTTATATATTGTTAGAGGTAAATTATATGAGTATATACAGAGATGGAATAATAAAATGTAAAGATAAGCGAAAAATTGTACCGAACATCGAAATTTTTCAGTAAAAACGTCGAGTAGCAGTTTTCGGAGGCGCGGCTGGGGAGAAAACGTTGTAGGCAGCATTTTCGAAAAACTGGCGCCTCTCGTTTATCTTCCCTCGCGATTATTTCGGGGAAGCTCGTGTCACGGGACCCCGAAAGTTTCCATGGCGGAACGAGGAAGGTAACGCGGTGACATCGGGCCGTGGATACGCGTCGCGTTAACATTCGCCGAGTTGGTTCATTAAAAAAACACGGAACAAGCTCGCGGCGCGCTCATTTGTTAAAAGTTCCCGGGCGCTGCGCTGGCGCTGTTTGAATCGTTGATTAAAGAAGTGGCTCGGGTCCCGGACGGACTCGTTTTTCCTTCGTATTCCTTTCCTTGCCCCGGAGTTCGTGTATGTTCCTAAGATGCGGCAACGCACGGACAATCCGCTTCGGAATCGTTTAGTCTCTCGCATTCGTGAAAAATATGCTCTTGACGTCGGGGAATGTCCTCGATGTTATCTTCCATGTACGAAAGGTTAACCGATCAAATCGTATCTCCTACAGTATTATTAAGCCTTCCTTTCCATGATTTATTTCACGACTAAACTCGCAAGAGTTTATTCCCAATCACCTTTCATCAAGAAAGCGAACTAAGTTTTTTACAAAGCGGTAAAGGTTGAACCCTACGCTCCACTGTGTCGCTAAACTCTAACGCTTTATGATTTATTCCACGACTAGGCTCGGATATAGGCTTTCTATAGGCTTCCGGTTCTTGCTGTCTGCATATCAGTGTCATACTCGGCTACGAGCGTTGAGGGATTAAGAGTTTCGCTGTTGGAGGACCAGAGAGCTACCCGATTTAGCATTACGATCCGAACCTAACCCGTGGACAGGAGTGTAGAGCCGCAGAGCTGTAGCCATGCGATCCGCACTGATTTCAGCGCGAGATGTAACGGGTCCCAGCACGGTGCTGAACCGTAACAGGCGTCGTCGCTGTGACGATCGAAAAGTGGTCGACTCTGCGAGGAACGGTAGACGACGGTCTGGGCTAGGTACCGGAAAGCTTCGATGAGATTTGTCCTGAACGATCGCCGGGGTCCTGTGGGCACAGCTGAGTCGCGACGAGAGAGGCAAAGTGACTAGCACAGTGCCGTACGTATATAGGGCGGCGCGAAAGTCCGCATTGCGGAATGAGAGATCGCCTATCGGCCTATTGGCTTGTCCTCTGTGCTCGTCTATTTCCACGTTTCTGTCCCTATCCACCGGCTCTCTCACCTTTCTCCGCGCTTCTATCTGCCCGAACGTCTATCTTGTTCTTTCATTGGCAATTTGCGAGAGATTCGCAGCTCCAGGTGATACCGGAGCCATGCGTGTCCTCGATAAGAATCGCTTTTCGGTTCGGGACTCGCGACCGGACCGATCGCATAAATCCACGATCGGATCGACACCCGACGCTGGAAGATTTAACGGATTTCGAGAAAATGTTACCTGATTTCCGTTGGTCC